AAGGGGGAGGGGCGGGCGGACGGACGGACGGACAGGAAGCGACCATCGAAATGAAAGCACTCGCACGCGTCACCCGCAGACTCGTTCGCCCATCGTCTGCACAAGCATTCAGTCCATTCTCGATCTATCGTCACACAGTCTCCACCAGCAATAAACACCCACACAGAGAGAGAATATCTCACCGCATGCACCGCGTCCCCACACTCTTCTGAACAGGCCGCGTGTCGTTTCGCACGTGTCACACGCGCAGGCAACTGTCTGTCGCTGTGATCGTATGCTTCACAGCTACAGGATGTTGCTCAAGCGTCTGATACGTGCGACACGACACCAGGGCCACGAAGCAAGCATCAAATCTCATCTCTACTGCATAAAGCGATGCCCACCGAAAAACCCTCACAGCGCACCTACTTGTCTGGTCTGTACATTCATCCATGACATGCATCCACCCAGCCGATGTTGAGCCCTCTCTAGAATCCCAGGCCCTGGAGCCACTGCAGCAATGCACACACAACACACACAGGCAGGCAGACAGTCAGACAGGCAGACAGCATCAACGATCTCTCTGCGTTGTGTGCGTGTGTGTATGTCCAAGTGTGTCCGTCCGTCCGTCCGCCCGCCCGCACCATTCTGAGTTTGGCTCTGTGGTTGCCGTTGATGACGATCCAGTTGCCCCTCTCCCGCACCTCCTCCTCTCGCACCCCACACACAAAGGCCAACTCCTTCATGAACGTCTGACACACACACACACACACACACACATAAAGACAGGCACACACACACACATAAAGACAGGCACACACAGGCAGACAGACAGACAGACGGGCTGTGATCGATGTCGAGATGAGACTGCGCTCTTTGGTGTGTGTGTACCTCCGTACCTCTTTGTGTCCTCTGATCTTCCTCAGTATGGTGTAGACGAAAGTGCCGTTGCGTTCTCGCTTCAGGTAGATGGGCAGCTTGTCGGACACTGCACAATGCAATCCATAGATCAGATCCATGTCCAAACATACACACACACACCCCAACAACGATACACAATGCGATGCCAGTGCACATCGATGCGATGCCTGCCAGTGCCTCCCCTCTGTCCTCATCCATCCACCGACGCACTCACTCGTCCGTTCTACGGCGAATGGCGCGGCGTCGATTTTCCGCCTTTCGTTCTCGTAAGCCTCGCGCCACACACCGAAGCACCGATGGGTCGGCCGGCCGATGTGAGTGCGGCAGGGGGCAGGGAGGAGGACCGGGGATGGAGAGGCTGCACGGCCCATCTGCATCTGACATCTGCTCGCACCCAGCCGCTGCAACATCGATGGATCCAACGATGATTCGTGCTCCACATGCAGCTCCCGCCCAGCGCCCCGCTTGCTGCGCGCTGCCATCTGTGCGAGCTCGGCCGCAATGATCGGACAATGCCAAAGACGTCATCTAGGCTGTTGCAGCGGCTGTGCGATTGTCAGATGGATAGATCTTTGGATGTGATACACATTTGATTGACTCATTGAGGTAGCGAAGCGTGAGATGAGATGGGTTGCGTGAGCAGTGCCCAGCGCTTCAAGTCGGATGTGACGGCATCTGGGCCGGACAGGGGAGCGTCGGCTCCCGTTGTCGAGCCACCGAGGCGGGTGCCCAAGCTGCGGATCTGCGATGTGGAGCTGAAGCTGAGCGTGCCGGATCTCATTGATGTGAGTCAGTCAGTGCATGGCAGGGACGGACGGAGCGCTGGACTGAATGAACGAGTGTGTGATGGTTGTGATTGTCCGCTGTTCTCTGTCTGTCTGTCTGTCTGTTCAGAGTGGGGTCCTGTATTATGATTTCCTGTCGACTGCAACGAGCTGTCGGGACTTGTTCCGGCCAGAGGTGCTGCGAAATGCGATAAGGAGGTCAGTCGCTCACTCACTCGCTCAAGGCAGTACAGCTCATCCATCCATCCATCCATCTGTGAGTATCACTGTGTGTGTGTGTGTGTGTGTATGGTTGTGTCAGGTACATTGAGTGCTGGCTTCCCCTGCTCAACGACGTGTCGGAGGCCTCACGAGGCGCGAATGCGCTGGCTGCACCACTGGACATCGAATGGGTATGTCTGATCAGCAGACACGAAACACAACACGAGCGCCTGACCGATTGAGCATGGTGATTCATCCATTTGCTCATCCTTTCGTCCATCCATCCCATCAGGTGTGGCACTGTCACTTGCTGGAGCCGGCGGCGTGTCGTGAGGACATCCGGCGGCTCAACCTCTCACCGGGCACTCGGGCGCCCGACGAGTACAAATACGCCAGATACCTCTTCGACCACCAACTCAGGGCGCCGCGGGTCAGCCAGACAGACAGACAGACAGACAGACAGCCAGACAGGCAAACAGACAGGCAGCCACTATGATGGCACGGAGTGAGTTATGCATGGTTGTGTTTCTGGTGTGGTGCGGTGTGGTGTGGTGTGCAGGCCCATCGTCTGGCGATGTCGACGTCTGAGAAATTGTGGAAAGAAATGTGAGTGTGCAGTGCCCCGCCGACAGAAACAAACGAGCTGCTTGGAGGTTTGCTCTCTCCGTGTGTGCATGTGCAGGTACCCCGACGAGCCCTTTCACATCATCGACCCAGATGACCCCAGGACAATCGTACGTACGCCCAGTGACCAATAAATAACCCAACACACACGCGCCAGTGGCTGCCTGCCTCTCTGCACGTGTGTGTCTCCATGCTCTGTTCTCTTCTCAGTTGGTTGACACTGACGAGCTGGTGGCGGCGCACCAGGGCGAGGGGCGCAAGAGCGTGCTCGCTCTCGTCCAATACGACCTCTACGAAGCCTCACTCAGGCAAAAAACATTCGCATACCAGGTACCTGTGTCCATGTGAGTGCGGCAAACAGAGACGCCTCGCCTCGCTGCCCGGAGGATGCCTGTGCCGTGTGTCCGTGTCCGTGTGTGTGTGTGGTCAGGTCGCCTTGCCGCATTACCGTGATCGCGTCTTTCTGTCCGACCAGGTGTACAGGTACACCGAGTACCTGCGGATTAAGAAGCTCTACCCGCAAAGCGCAGCGCCGCAAAACGCCCTCATACTGCCCACGTACCCACGCATCCACACACACTCATAGACATCTGCCTGCATGGTCTCGTGCGTGTGTGTCGCGTGCAGGGTTGGGATCGACTTGGTCTGGCAGACACACATGATGTTCCCCAACCGATACATCCAAGACCTCCACCTATACTTGGGTATGTGCGTGGCCACACCACAGTGCACAGCCCCCTCCATCCCCCCCCCCATCCATCCATCCATGTGTCTGCTGCCTTGTCGTCGGCTGCGTGTGCAGGTCGTGTGTTGCATCACAAGGTAGACTCGCTCAAGTACAGAGAGGAGCCCTCCAGGCTGCGAGAGGCGTGGGCCTACACCGAGGAGCTATGGCACGCCGAATTCGCATGCTCACCACGCGACCCTGGAGCTCTGTACCGCGGCACCCCGCCCGTGGAGGCGCCACACCTGCCCATCAAGATACCAAAGTGAGGGAGCGACACCCATCCCACCCACCCATCCAAGCAATGCAATCAACACACAGAGAGGCCAACCCAACAACACCGTCCTCTCCCTCCTTCCTTCGCTTGTCTGGTGCAGGCCGATAAGTGTCATCTCGGCCGGCGTGGCTTCATTGCGGTCGGCAGGCGGCCAGACTCTGCTCATGAAGCTGCTGAGAACGCTAAGAGAGATTCTGGAAAACCCCCTGGACACCAAACTGCGTTCATTTCAGTACCGGCCATCTAAGCAGCTCGAGCTTGAGAAGCGGTTCAACGAGCTGACGGTGTCGCTCGGGTTCAAGGCCAGCAGCAGACGGCCACCTGGGGGCGAGATCGAGATCGTGTTGGAGACGGTGGACCCTCTGTCGTTGTACTTCTACTGCGAGTTGGTGCCTGCTCCTGTGCCTGGGGTGCGACGGGAGGGGCAGCCGGTGCTGCGGAAGGCGCCATCGCTCATCGGGGATGCATCCAAGGTGGTGCCCATTCTCTCGTTCTTCCGACCGCCACATGCAGAGAGGTACGTATCCACACACACACACAGACACAGAGGAGGAATTGTTTGTTCATGCTATGCATGATGTGGTGCGTCTCATACATATGGCCATCGCATTGATTCATTTAGGCTGTCATCCATCCGGTATGTGGGTCAGCGGCACCTGTCCACCGCTCAGATCTTGTCCGAGGCCCCCTCCCCCCAGCTGACTCTCACCCGCCACTACGGCCGCCTCCGCCAAATAGATGTGGGACCCAACCAACCCCAGGAGCTCAAACCACACGCAGAAGTGTACGAAAGCGTCCTTGCCAAACAGGTCAGTCAGTGGGCAGAGGAAACAGGGGAGGGCCACACACACGTGCAAGGATGCAAGCAAATATTCCGAAGGAAGCGATCGATCGGCATGGCATGTGCGTCAGGTGCCCGGTCTGCCCTCTCGGCTGTGCTCGTCAGGGAGTGTATGTCCGCTGGCGCGGTGGCAGGGCGGCCCCGCCGATGTGCCGCTGAGGGACTGCGATCTGCGGGAGGACCACACCATCAAAACAAACACGGTTCTGAGGGCGAAGGTGATCCAGATACACCTCGGAAACGACTTCGGGGCAACCGTACAGGTGTGAGCGGCCACAGGAAGCGGCTGAATCCCTTTTCTCTTCCACTGGCCGATGTCGTGTGTTTGCAGATCCAGGCAATGGAGAGCTGCACTTCACTCGCGACGTCCCACCTGCTTGGCCCGGAGTGCCTGCCACCGGCGAGCGTCGGTGTCGACAGCCCTTCCCTGTCTGCCGGGGAGGCAGCGATGCTCGTCCGCGGAAGGGATGGCGATTTCTGCCTCATCATCGGCTCGTGGAAGGGCATCATACAACCCAAGAACAAAGGTATGTAGTAAAGAGAAAAAATAGACACACACACGGGGCGCAGGCAGGATCATTCCCCTCTCTGTTTGTTGGGTCGTGGGATGCATGCAGGCGAGTTGCCCGACCCCGGTCGGTTGGGCGTCCGTGTGTTCCTGGTCGGTGCGCGCAAGCCCTTCGAGCCGCGCATCGAGCGTGACGCGCCCCCTGGCGGCTCCCGCAGCGGCACCCCGTCCAACATTATGCGCCTCCGCCCCAACCTGCGTGAGTCTGACATGATGGGCAGCCCCCACGGCCGTGAGGTGCCCGTGTGGCAGCCATCGGTCCTCAACATCGCCCGCAACTTCAAGGATCTCATGACGTGGTACGTCCAATTTGGCGAGGCGAGAGTGCGCTATGGGCTGGCGAGGGGGGAGGTGTCGCATGAGGGCGATGACGGAGCGGTGGATCAGTTTCACGCGGAACTGGTGGCTGTGGGGTACAGCCTGTCACTGCTGACTGTGCTGCTCTGCCCCGTGGTCCCCCCGCCATCGGCCAGCACGTCCCCTGAGCTGCCAGCCGGGAGCATTTTCTACAACCTCACAAACCTAGAAGTGGGTGACGTCTCCACGCTCACGACTCCACACATACACAGAGAGGCGGCCATGCACACACGTGTGTGTGTGTGTGTGTGTGTGCAGTGGTGTCTATCAGTCGGATCGAGGCCACACGCGCAAGTGAATCCGCGGGAGAGGGAGCGCGTCTTGTCCAATGCAGACGGTGTGGATGTGGGGTGTGGGGACCCGCTCAGCGCCCTCTGTGCCAGCGGGGTGATGGTCAAGGAGGTCGAGTGGCGGCCGGGGGCGCCTGTCCAGCTGGCGTGCGGCAGGGGCGGCACTGAGTGACCGATTCATGGATGGCTGGC